TAGCAAAATGCCATGGTATTGTTTAAATTTGCATAACTCAAAATATATGCAGTCAAATAAAATGTTAAATAGCAAATAACACTCAAAAATACATATATTCATGTGATAATACGTTCAAGTTTAAGAAAAATGAGGGGGGAAATAGATGTAATTAAATGCTAAATTATACCTCAGAAACGTTTCGAAATACTTGAAAGTAAAAATGCGTTATAATAAGTGCTGGCTATTGAATATTGGTAATATTAGCGTCATGGTGTAACGGCAAGCTACTGAACTAATAATTCCATAAGTAATCATTAGGATTCGCTATATAATAGCAGAGATATTAAGGGAGGCCACAATATATACACTGGTCATAATACCATCTTCTCCTCTACATATATGAATCCTCAGCGGCTTTTATTGATCCTGTTTATTCGACCTTGACCCTTGTAATTTAGCCTAACTATTCGCACGTGTCTGCTATATAAACATTTTATTTCTGACTATACCCGTTATTGATTATATAATGTTATGACAAAAATATGTTTCATTTGCAATATTGTATATTATTGCACTGGTTTTGAATAAAATTATCCTCAAAAAATTTTTAATAAATCATTGTAACGTCGTTTAACTTTTTTTTATGTGAAGGATATTATTATTAATAATTAAATTAAATTTCTTAACAATTTAAAAGACTTGTAAAAATTAAAGGATATTAACTCCTCTTTATATGTATAAAAAACGGGATGATGTTATTACACAAAGAAATGTTCTCTCTGAAAGTTCTGCGTAATGGTTCATTTCTCTTAACATAAGATTTTATTAAACAAGAATATGTCATTTATTTACATTAAATTAGAAACCCCGTATATATATGTAAGGACAGTTAAGAATTAGCACAATTTTGTTAGTTTTAACAACTAATTGTAAGATATTTATTAAATTGAAATGTTTGTGAAAGTAAAGTTTAATATTCTTGTGACTCATAAAAAATGAGTTCAATTCATAACTGTGGTTTCCTTTTGGTGCACGAATAAATCTCTTTCATGTTTCACTAAAGATTTCCCGTAGAAGAGAACAGTTTGACGAGTCTATAAATCTTTGACAATGGATAAAACACAATCCAAATTTTTGAATTTTTTAAAAAAACAGTAATTTTCTTACAAAGAATTTTTGTAAATTTATAAATAAGAAAAATCGATTTTTTTTATTTAAAAAAAGTATTTCGTAGATAATGATAAAAGTGATTTAAGATGTCCAAAAAAGTTTTTGTATAATTTATAAACACACACACACACAAACACATACAAATATTTTTAAACTAATATATTTTTACACACATACGTAAGAATGTACAATATACATACCTGCGTAAATACATGTTTGATTAATAACACATATAGGAAAAATACTATATGAAGTTTATTTAAGTTCAAACAAAATACAGAGAAAGAATTATATGTAATCCTTGAATAAATACAATTTTAATTTTATATATACATAATTAAAATTGTATTTATTCAAAGATTATTTTTGTATATTTTTTTCAACTATATTCGTAATTTGATGTGCAAAATAAAACTTAATTTTTAAGCATTAATTGATGCTGTTATTGTACTCCGTTCTAATAATGGAAATTATGACATTAGCTCATTTTCTGGATTTGTAAGAGAAAAAATATATATACAATAAGAATTTTAGACCGTACTGTGAGAACACAATCGATAAAGCCTACCAATCGAAACTGGATCTTTAATGCTTAAATAATTCAATGTGAATTATATATATATATACTATATATGTACATGTGTATATATACCATAGTTGTAGTCATTCAAACTGCGCGAATTGGTTTTCCGGACTTATAAACGCAATTAAACTACTATAAATATCACGAATTAAATTAAATTGACAAACAATTCTTAATAATTTGATACTCAATCAGGTATCGTATTAGAAAGATGTTAATGTGCTGAAAAACTATAAATAAATTTATTGCGAAAAATATTACCTCGAAAAAAATATATGCTTTTTCCTCTAAAGCTTAGTTCCACAATTCACAGTTAACTCTTAATCGAAGTTCAGCTTATTACTTCATCTCTTTCTTTAGAAAAGAATTAAAAAGAGACGAGAAATAAGGCCGTGGTCCGATTCGCTCAAAATCATTTCATCCTTGTTGTTTAATTGTCAAATGTTAAACAAAGACAAATGATGTTCATGAACAGCGTGTGAGGAACATGAATCGGACCGGAATCTCGGTTAAGACCGTTAAGAGTTACCGTGAAACTAGACAAAACAACTTAATTTTGGATTAATTTATGACCCAGCTTTCACCGGGTACAACAAAAAATTCTTATAGACTCATCAATTGTTCCCCTCCACGGAAATCTTTAGTAAAAGGCGAAAGATTTATTCGTGTTCTGAAGGGAAACCAGAGTAACGATATAATGCTATAACGATCCTTATATAGACAAGCAGACCAAATTTTACTTACAAGAAATATTTCATCTTGAGGGCCCTCTCCTAGCCAGACTTGGAACTAACAGCGTCCAATCTCCCTTAACCTTAGAAAACGGTATGCTGGATTCGACATACCTGACCTATCTTAAGCCTGCGACACACGACCTGTTTGTTTTCCGGCTTGTTTTCCTACTGGATTCTTAACTAGATTAGAATCTTACCATTGTATTGGCTGCGGTACTGATAGTGTCAGCATCGTAGCCAATACGGTGGCAAGAATTTATTCTAGCTAACAATCCAGCAAGAAAATGCACCGTGTGCCGCCGGCTTTAGAGCGTTTTTCATTCAGGAAAGATACACAGTGAATCATTATATCTTTGTTGTTTGTCAACATTACATAAAAAAATTGTTCAGAAATTGCTTACACTTTTATAAAAATGAATCTTAGATTGCAGAAATTTTGAAAAATCATTTCTTTAAAAAATTTTTGACAAAATAAATATAAAGGTTTCTTAAACAATGTACTAAAAATTAGAAACTTTGAATTTAAAGAAATAAATGTTATATAATCGAATATTTCAAAAAATATGATTATCTGAAAAAATGAAGATAATAGATATACCCAATGTGTCATCTAGAGTTAAATATGTGTGTACTTTTAAAATAAATTCTCAACAATAAAAACAAATATTCTTGTTTAATAAAATTAAAACAAACATTTTTTTATGTTTTACTGATTGTGAACATCATATCTTTATTAATTAATTATCAGCTTTTTTTATATAATAAAAATCTGGATTGTTTAAATTCTATAAATTATTGCTCTCTAAAATTTTTCAAATTTTTTAGATATTTTACTTATTTGCATGATGATCCACAGGAAGTTCTGTCGAAGACAGATCACGGAAAGTCTTACAAGGATGAAAAAACCAATCATAATAATTTACACAAAATCAATCTAAGAAACAATCAGCTGAAAGGAAATATAATTTTGGGAAATTACGGCGTAAGTTCTATAACATCTATGAAATTTTTGTTTTGTTTCAATTCTATATATTTGTTTTTTCTAATTCACTACTTTACAAATAAAAATTCTTTTTGAAAAAAATAAGATAAAGAAATAGTTAATGTTAAACTTGATAGTTTATTATCTTTTTTCCTTTTTTTATAAACAAAGAATCTGACACATCTGGACGTAAGCGAAAATAGCATTGAAAAATTGGATATTAGTGCTCTGCAAGAATTGAGAAGTGTACGCTGCGGACGAAATAATTTAACGGAATTAACTCTTTGCGGCCGAAATCTAGTATCTCTTATTGCTGGTAATAATAGTAAGTATAGATTTTTACATGCATTGTACAATAATGTATACTTTTTATTACGTAGTTAATATATTGAGATAGAATTAAAAAACAAAAAATAAAGAAATAAAAGTAGAATAAAAATAATTATTTTTCTACAGGATTGAAAAAACTAATCATCGAACCTGTGCCAATTAATCTGGAACATTTGGATGTTTCCTAGTGAGTGAACGCAATATATATATATTATCTAAATTAATATAGATACATATTAATATATCAAATCTAAAAATTTGACTAAGTACTATTAAACCCAACTAATCTTAAAAGTTATTAATCGGTCTACAAAACTTTCTTGAATCTATTTTGTATATTTCAGTTTTTTTACACTATTTATATTTTTTTATTCGAGCACTTTAGCTTTAAACTAAAGACAAAAATATGTAAAAATAATTTATGATCTATTTAAATACGCTATTTTCTAGCAATTAAATATATTTTTTTTCTTTAGCAAGTTCTTTAATATATCATTTAATAATATATTCGTATATTTTAGAATGTATTTTTTATTATTTAATTTATTTATGTGAAAAACTTGTATTTTTTTGCTTTGTTCCCAGCAATAATTTAGATGCATTGCCGGAATGGACAACTGAATTGCCAGCATTGCGCGTCCTTTTCGCGTCGCACAATGCTCTCACGGCTCTCCCAGACAGGTTGTTGTCACAACCCTCGAGACTAGAAGTTCTCCATCTGCCTCACAATCGGCTACAAGCCCTACCACCGCCCAGGAGACCATTGAATATCGTACATTTAACTCTGCAGGGCAACATGTTGACCACGTTGCCAACCAGTTTTTTCACGAATACCGAAAAGTACGACATCTCATATAAAATTCAAATTTCATTGATAAATATATATATATATATATACATAAATCCATATTTGTGTTTCAAAATTGTGATAACAGGAACGAATAATAATAGTAATAATAGTAGTAATACAGTATCTAATTATTAAAAATAATAATCTCTTTATCAAATTTGAATAAAACTACTCTTAAAACACATATTTAACCGTCTAAAATAAAATTACAACATTTTTATTTTTCGTAAATATGTCCACTCAATAGAGTTTAAACTTCGAACTCCTTTCCAGAATGAAAGTTTTAAATCTTTCCAACAATCGACTCTCCGAACTTCCGTATCGCGAAGAGGCCGGAAAAATTCACCAGGGATCACATACCTTGGAGAAATTATACCTCACAGCAAATTGTCTGACCGATACTGCTCTAGACGCTCTCGCGAAGTTTACGTCTTTGAGGATTCTTCATATTGCTTACAACACCTTGGATACGCTTCCAGAAAGGTGAGTCTATCCTTATTCTTTGTTAAAGATACGGAGAAGAACAATGATAATTTTATATCAGTTATCAGGTAATAATTAACGAAGGCAAAATGTGAATATAGATAATAAAAAAACATATCAGTAAATTATAAAAATCAGTCGATCGAAAACTGCGATTTGAGTGTTGATATAGATAAGATATTTGAAATAATTTTATGATGTTTGTTATTAAAATTGATGCAAAATCCTGCAGTTGCATAGCTGCTTGGAGCGACCTGGAAGAATTGGTGTTGTCTGGGAACCGATTGCAGTACCTTCCGGACAACGTGGCAAATCTGCGACATTTGCGCGTGCTACGCGTGCATTCTAATCGGCTATTAACATGTCCCACCTTCAGTAGAACAGCGTCTTTGAAGGTCAGATTCTAGATACGAATATCAATGTATATCGAGCAATTTGCATAAATGAAACATGGCTTATAATCCGAAATATTCTCCTCTTACTTAGATGGAATAAATATATGAAAATTATTTAATTAATTCTCAAGGATCATTTTGTTATTTATTAAATACACATAGATTAATATATAATGTACTTTATTAAATATACATATAAAAATAAAGAATACATACAATATGTACTTTATTATGGATGCATGAAAATAGAAAAACTGACAAAAAATATGTAAAAACGTGAAATTTTTTAATTATCTTTTTCATTTTTTGTAACATTGTTTTTTTATATAAACTATAAAAAAATATTTATTTATAAATAATTGAATTTATTATTATTATTATATTAATATTTTTGTTTTGATATATTTTTGTTACCATAGAATGATTTTGACGTAATAGTTTTGTTGTAACATATAAATGTGATATACCTATTTCATGAAATTACAATGATTGGAGTGTGCTTATTTTCATAAATAGCATATATGCCAACGTAGAAATATATCTATAGGACACAAAAGTATTAATAATACATGCAGCTGAATAATAAAAGCACAATAAAATAAAATATTTATTTCATCCAGGTGCTAGATTTGGCACATAATCAATTGGACAGAGTAAATCTGGCTACACTAGTACCACCACAACTACAATTTCTTGATATATCCTGCAATTCCCGACTGCATGTGGACCCGCGACAGTTTCAAGATTATAGATCCCAAAGGCCAATATCTTTGGTGGATGTATCTGGACAGAACAGACCCAGTTTACCATCTCATCCGCATCAACAAGAAATCGTCGCGGCGGAAAAGAATACCGAACAACCATGGCGATTAGGTTTTTCGGAAACTGCTGGTTCGCGCGAAAAGTAAGATTATTATTTATATTCTATTTATTTATTCATTCATTTTATTTATTATATTTCAATTTATATTTATTCTTCCAAGATTGATAAATTATAAAGAAAAGGTAGACAAAAAGTGTTACTTCCTTATTGCAAGAAATTGATTTTTACGAAAAAATATCTCAATATTATCTGCATTCCCATGAACTTGGAAATTTCATATTTGTACACAGGCTATACATTTCCCAAGTGCGAATATCATCCTTTTGCAACGTCGAAGGTCTGTTTGGCATATTTGACGGTGATTCCAATCAAGAAGCACCTAGCGCTCTTCAAGAAATGATTCCTCGTCTCTTGCTGGAGGAACGAACGGTCCGAGAGACGTCGAAGGAATACTTGAAATATACTCTGTTGTCAGCACACAGAGAACTCAAGGAGAAGGGTCAGAAATACGGCGTAGACGCAACTCTGATCCATATAGTGAAATTACCGTCGCAGCAGGGATATTCAAAATCCTCGACTAAATATTCTCTTAAAGTGGCTTCCACCGGGGACGCCAAAGCTGTCCTCTGTAGAGCCGCGGGTCCCTTGACCTTTGCCAAGTCTAAAAAAGCTCAGACAGTTAAGAACCAGCTTGGTAATGCTGCCATGTTCCCGTTAGTAGTGCCCGATCCGATATACGAAGAAGTGACGCTGGAAGACGACGATGAATTTGTCATAGTCGCTAATCGGAGATTATGGGAGGTTCTAAGCGTTCAAGAAGCCGTGAGGGAAGCTAGAGCCGAGGCCAGTCCTGTCCTGGCCGCCAAAAGACTTCAGGATCTGGCGCAAGCTTACGGCGCAGAGGATAATTTGAGCATCATCGTCGTCCGGTTGGCGGGACCAAGTCCAGGTGACATGGATCAACTCATGCGTGAACTCAGGCATGCCGTTGGTAAAAACAGAAGTCAAAGCGATAGTGTGTGTCCTTGTCCTTGTTGCATGCCGCCAGCGACGCACAAACCACCAGCTGCCTGCTGTTGTCACGCGAACGAAGGCTATTATCTTAATGGCGTGTTAAAAAATATTGTAGGCAGGTAAGGAAAACAGAATATTACTGTTATTAAATTTGATGGAAAGTAATTTGATCAATATCGTGAATTTGTACATTAAAACATCTAAAATGCATGAAAGCAATATTAATGTCTTCAAACTATCTGATAATCTAACTATATAATTTTATAAAAATTGATGACATTTTAAATAATTATATATTTTTTTAATTTAAAGAAACATTTATATATTTTTATTATGCAAAAATCCATTTAGAAGTATCGATTAATATTCTGCAAAATTAAAATGCTAATTTTCAAAATTATTAGAATTATTTCTTTTATAGAAAATGTCGAGATTTATTCTTATTACTTTTATAAAAATTTTTCCTGCAATTTTTCTAACAAATGGGAACTAAGAATTTTATTTTTCATAAAGAATTCCAATATGATTACTATAAAATTTGGCATTTGCTTGGCATTTGCAGATCCAATAAAGTCCACGGTGGTTCCGGAAGATACTTCAAGAATTCCAGATCGACGCAAGAGAATGAAAGTCCTCCATACAGAGACGACCGCAGTTCGCCAAGTGGACAGTCTGATCAAGCCAGTGACAGCACTTTCAAATCTCGTCATCCATCAGCAAGGATGTGGTCTGGAAGTGCGGCTGCTAGGGCGACAAATAAAGCTCACCAGAGTGTTCTCATACAGGAAAACGGCATGCGAAAAGTAAAGTCGAGTCTCTTTGTCGATACTCTTTCGTGAAAAATATTTTCACAAACGTACGCTGGCAAAAAAAATGCTAAAAATTATAATCTTTTTACTGAAGTAGTAAATATGGCAATAAAAAATTGTTTAATTCTTTGTGCCTGACGTGTTCACAAAACATACATACGCAAGCGTATGATCGTAAATAAGGAATATAAGCTGTGTTTCGATCATATACTTACGCTGCCAATATTGAAAATCTACAGAGTAACAAAAAAGCTACAAAATTTTATGTTTATTATAAATCATTAGTAATATATTTTTAGAAAAATACAAATTCTATAGTGTTAGTTAAAATTATATCTTATTAAATACCAAAAATAATAATTAACATTAAAAATGGCCACCTTTAGTTTTGACGGAGTTGGGCTCTTTTTTAAATATATATTACTAAAATATACGTTTCAAGTACCAAATTGACATAGCTGACCGAGCCTATTTGTCGTCATTTTGACATCAAATTTAAATATTATTTTTACTCTAAAATGACGATAAGTAACGTTAGCTTGTTATTTGGCTAATTTTATAAATAAAACTTTGTAGCCACTTTTTGTGTTACTCGTGTAGTTCACGTTATGTAAACTATAAATTTTTAATATTAGCAATGTATATCAGAACACGATCATAGAGATAAGATATAAAAAATACGAAAGTCTTTATTATTTGAATTCTTTTTATTTCTCAGGTATCACCTTGTCTTCCTACGCAAGAGGATGCTATCTCGGAAAGATCCAGCGCTCTCAGTGAGGAGCAATTTCGTTGCTGGGAGTATATGCTTGAGCAGAACACTCAGCTACTATTCGATAAGGAACTGGACACGTTGACGAAGGCGCCGTTACACCGCGGTCAATCAAGGTCAACGCCGCAACTGGGAAGCAATCTACCCTTTTTGTCAAAAAGGTTTGGCAGCGCTCGATCCTTCAATCCTTCATTATCACGACCGCCGATGGTCCGTTTCGGCAGCGGACGGAGATTGCTGAATGGCGGACCAAATGCTGCCTATTTCGGCAGCTTGCAAAGGCTGATGCCGTACAATCTCGAGTATGACTTCGCTGTTATCCAAGAAAGAAACGGCATGGATTCGTTGGAGCAAGACGCCACGAGGATGCAGCAGTATTGGGGAGTTGCCACTACAGAATTGTAAATGAGAATCTAATGCAAAGATACCTACTAAGTATAAGATAGAAGTGCAAATTAGAAGTGCAAAAAAGCAAAAAGTCTACAATACCTATAACAATGAACGAGCTAAATCGGAATTATAGAAACGTTACACACTGTGATAACGTTTATGTAAGTCCTATCCTGAAAAAGTTCCCTTTATGTTTTAAGAATTCATATTTTGCAGAAAGCACATGCAGCATTTCATTATCATTGTCATCGTTTTAGATTGCGAAATATAACGCGGAAACTCATTGTGCTAAATCGTTCATTATATCGCGATAAATTAATTTGCACTTACTTATGAACAATCCAATGTAACCAAAGTAATTTGTCTTGAGAGGCTTGACGGCACAAAGTAATTATACCTTTGTACTCTAATTATTATTGGCAAATGAAGTAATTAACCGAATACAATGTGACGGAGCGAAGAGTTAATCGGCAACAAACGCGTACAATCGCAGTAATAATATCGATCGTGTTGATAACAATGGCACGGCCAAGATAAGCTATGGAGTTCTTCGAACCTCGTGGAAGGAAAGACGACGGGATTTGTACCGTCACTTCGGTAATTCGCTCGTTTATTGCAGCTGATACGCGTGCAATAAAGGGACCGCGGAAACCACTGTGCAGCCTTTACGCTACACAAAGCTGGCCTTGTTTCTTTATAAATGTAGATACGCGAAAGATCTATATCTACTTTATTGCGGAACGACTTTACGGCGCTGAATCACTCCGCAGAAAATGGGCCAAATAATAGAGATCGAAGAAAATCCGTTTCTGGTCTTAGAAGTCGGAGACTGATTTAAATATTAAAAAATTCATTTCTTTTACTGATATTCATCGTATATTCTTTCATTGGATCGTCCATATCCTTTTTTTTTCTAAATATTAACATTTATTAACACGTTATTACGATTTTAAACCCTTCTTAAACGAGCTCTCTTCATTTTGATTTAAGAAACATAAAATGCTGCCAAATTTAATATTAATTGCGAAAATTATAATACAAATTCGCATAATGCATTTCTTTATTCTTTTAGTATGTCAGTTTTTCCTGTGTATAGATTTCATGTTACCTTGCAAATCTCAATTGTTTGCTGGTCTGTATTTTTATGTTTAGCATGTTTAAATATCGTTGTGCTTCATATTTTTTTCCTTACAAAATTTAGATTGTTTAGAAATAGCTTTTGTATATAATTATTACGTAATAAGTACAATTTAATATATCTCTAATATTATGACACACTTCTGCGATAAACTATTGATAATGTTAAGAAACACGTGATACTACTGACGTAATCGATACGATTTTGTGTTTTCTATTACATGTAACGTATCGATATTAGACTTATATGTACAGGGTGTCTCTAAAATGAATCACATCACTATAATTCCGTGTGAAATATTATTAATCGTGTTACGTTAATCAAAATATTGAATCGTTATTTTATAAAAATAAGAGTTACTACAGTCATATATATGACTGTATATAAAGAATTGTAATAGATATTTAAATCAACACTCTTACAATTCTTTATTTCAATCTTTACAATTTTTTAGATCTGCTTCAAACCTGTCATTTTACTGTAATATTTGTTGACTTAAATTCTTTCGATCAGTAAGAGACATTCAACGTTTGTAGAAACTTCTGTTTGAACAAAATAATGGAGTTGAACACAGAGACACCGTATATTTATAAGAAAGATTAAGTCGTATATTACATGAGCGGTCAAAGAGCATGCTTCCGAAATGAATTCACTATTCTTCAGTCCTATAAACATATTTGCATCATTTAAACATATTTCATTCTTTCTCTTAATCGGAATTATGCTCTTCGATGAGAAAAAGAATCACATGAAGGAAATATTTTTTATAAATGTGAAGAGATACTTTTTTATTTTTTGATGTAATATAGAATATGCCGGAAGAAAGTATGTTCCAATAACAGACTTATATTTGTCTGAAATGCGAAAGTTCTTCAATCGTAAGGTAGGTTAAGTGCATTTGGGAAGAACAATTTAAAAGAAAAGTTATTCTACTAAAGTCATCGTATTATGATGTAAAAACAGAAATTTTCAAAAAATTTCAAAATATTTAATATTCGCAATGTAAACTATAAAAAAACTCCATTCTATAAAAAAAATACAAGTATGTAGTGAATCATTTCGAATATGTAAATAAATGTTGTCGGTACACACTTTCTTCGGGACGCCGTGTAGCAAAACTGTACCTGAGGCTGGACCAAATAAATCATGGCTTGCAGCGACCTATTGTTGTCAGAACAAATAAACTATACATTGCAAATGGTGGTGCATCCAAAATTTAACGAAAACATTTTTATACGAAGGCATTTTTATACATTTATAATTTTGCGTCAAAAATTTCAAATATTTATAAAATTTCTTGAATATTTAAAATTGATACATACACATTTTGAAGACGGAATATCGATCTCGTGACTTATTTATCTGTTTATTAAGTCTCTTGCGTAATTTATCTTCTCAATCGCAAACAAAAGTAATCGAAAGCATCATATACAATTTTTTCTTTTGTTTTTATTTTCCTGTTCTTTATTTTTTTCTTTTTTGTCACGTTTCAAAGGATAAATTTCGAAAAAAATTGCACAAAGGATCAAAATAAATTATTATACCATATGTTGCAAGGAGAAAATTCTGCAATAGAATTGCATGAATCCGCCACTAATTCTAAAACACGCCATCATTCGTTACATTCTAATTTGACTTCCTGTCCATCGGCGTGTCCGACATGATATCAAATAATCGCTTCCTTCCGTGACTCAATTGCAACACAGATGAATTCAACAGACAGCAATATTCGAGACATGTAACATTCGGTTACGTTCTGTCCATCGATTAAATTCTTCGCGTTGGCCTTGGGCGGCATTATCTTATTTGTAGTGTGTTATTACACCCATATCGTTTCAAATGTTCTGTTAAAGTCACAAAAAGTAGACGGTAGGAGATTTATAGAGAGAATGAGACTTTTTACTTTTATACAAATTGCTGTAAAAATTGTATAAACGGTAAGAGCGAGAGAGAGAAAGAGAGAGAGAGAGAGAAGTAATATTACTTGATGGATTTAAAGTTTGCTTTTTTTCTTATAAAAGTTTCAAACAAAGCTTAATTAACATAATATTTAAAGTAGAAAATTAAAATGTCAAGAGAAAATATTACAAAATTCGAGATGAATATTGTACAAGATTTTTCTTTCCGATTAATTTCTAATTAATAGGAATTATATTTACATATTTATTGATATTCAATGTCAAAAATTAAAGATTAATAGCTAAGAATTAAAAAATCACATTACGTATATATGTATTTTTACAATACTGCAACTTGTAATTTTACTTCGACTTGTGTATTTGATTCAAAGCGATTTTTCATCGTTTCACTTAAATTTGTTAAAAAGTCGAATATTTTTCAACACCGCGAATATAGAGTAAGAGTAATTTCAAATCGCACGTGAGGGAGAATAATTTTACTGATTCAGCACGTGCTTTTCCTTCGACGACTCCACCGAGAGCATGATAAGCAGTTTCTTTATCGAACTTTGGAATCTGTCAGTTATTTGCTGCTATCGGCAACTGTTAAATTATTCCGCCAATTTATTAATTAATTAACAGTATCCAAGAGTTTGCGAGTATCTTGGTTACAGAGTAACCCATTTATCGAACGATAAAATACTTTCTTCGAAACGTATATTTTCAATCACACGATATATACTTAATATAATATTTCCATTTTTATTGTCATGATGAATATTCTGTTGCTTATTGTTGTTAAAAATAATAAAACTATTAACAACTTTAATACGGCATAAGTTCTAATTTCAATCACACGATATATACTTAATATAATATTTCCATTTTTATTGTCATGATGAATATTCTGTTGCTTATTGTTGTTAAAAATAATAAAACTATTAACAACTTTAATACGGCATAAGCGCTAAAATATAAAATATATATATATATATATATACCTGTTCAATTTTTAGCCTGTTAATAATAATAAGCTAATTTTTCAAGTTTATTAAAACGATTCTTTTGCGAGATAAAGTTTGGTCAATGATTTAGTCATGCAAAGAAAAAGACAAGAATATGTGAAGTGTGTTGTGATTAACACTTTCAGTTGTTAATCACTACTATCAGCAAATCAAAGAAGAATATTAAAATGTCCAATTAACGATTAATAATCAGAAATGATTAGGTTCAAGGAAAGTGACTCATATCATGTCTCACTCTACATTTTTTTTCATAACAATCTTAAGATATTGACACGGTTTCGTAATTTCCTAAAACCATAGATATATGTAAATAATCAAACGCGCAAGAGGGCACTAAGAGCGAACCTGCTATCAACATTTATCGCGCAAATAAAATGTGTAAAGAGAAGATAAAATGTGACTTATTGCGGAATTTTTTCTGTCGATAAGTGCCGAGCAAGCTGAAAAATAAACATGTCGTAAATAAGCATATCGAAGTGTACAGCTGCAAGAGGACAATAGAACTTATCGGAATTATCGCTCTAACTCCGATCTCATCTGTTCCCGGAGCCAAAACCTGAAAGTGTGCGGTTACATAAGTATTTTAATGACGACACGCGATACAATCGAAGTGTACAATCCGGTACCAAGATATCACCCAAGTATCAGGTCTTTTTTCCGACTGGAGACATCAATATATCGACGTTCACGATTCCAAGAGGGGTATCCCGATATTTTCGTAATACCGGAACTTCTTTGACAATATCATTCGGTGCTAGTGCCGAGAAATTCCTCTAAACGCGGCCCTTAGTTATTTCTATAGATATACTTAGACTATAAATAGCGTACTCGATCTGTTGACTCATCCCAACTTTGAATTGATAGTCCGTTCTTTTTAACTGCGAAAGAAGAGCTAAGTGCAAGAAATGAAAAAACAGATCATTGACTCGGACTCAGATCGAGTCAGCAAATTGAATACGCTATTAGGCTAA